GATAAGAGGGTGGAGGTGGTGAGAGGACGGCGGCGGTGAGACGGGCCATGGTTGAGAATAGTCTGGAAAGGCGGCCGGAGTGAGTGGAAGTGTGTGTGTGTAGGTTTAGGAGCACTCCGTTTGTATCATTTGTCTATACAGGTTCCCGCAATAAGATTGCTGAAGATTCTCAGATCTCGATGCAGGCGTTCCTCAACTGGCTGAATTTGCCCTCATTGTCAACCCGATAGAACCGAAACCAGACCCCGTCGGAGGCAATGCCATGCATGACGGCGCTTCTCTTGCTCTGCTCACGCTTAGCTGCAGACCCTATCCGTAAGGACGGTCCTCCATAATCACACTGTATAAGTACTGTGTCATGATTGAACGATATATTAGAATCTACCACTCCACACTCGGCAGATCATCCTCAAGCGGCATCTCCCCCTCCTCCTGCATCCTCAATGCCACTTTATCAGCCTCCGCCCACACACGCAAAATATTCCCCCCCACAACCTTCGCCACATCCCCATCACTCACCCCCCTCCTCAGCAACTCCCCCACCAAATCCGGGAACTTCGTCACATCCTCCAACCCCCTCGGCGTCTTCCCAATCCCATCAAAATCACTCCCAATCCCCACATGCTCAAACCCAATCAACTCCCCAATATACACCACATGATCCGCCACCCGCCCCAGCGTCGACCCCGCCTCGTCGAAATCAGGAATCCCGCTGTCATTCGGCGGGTCCGCGGCAACGCAGCTCACGAAGTCGGGCATGAAATTAATCATCACCACGCTCCCCCTCGCCTTGACGAGATGTAGCACCTCATCAGGGACGTTGCGCGGGTGCGGACAGAGCGCGTAGGCGCTGCTGTGGCTGAAAATGGGAGGCGCGGCGCTGCCGGTCCAGTCGGAGGAACCGCCGCCAAGAACGTCGAGCATGGTATCGCGACTGACGTGTGCAAGATCGACGAGGACGCCGAGGCGGTTCATCTCCTTGATTATCTTGCGACCGGCGGGGCTGACACCGCCCCAGAGGGGGGTAGATTTCTCGACGTTGCCGCCGGGGAGCTCGGTCACGGCGGCGTCGGCGTAGATGTTGTGGCAGTTGTGGGTGAGGGTTGCGTAGCGCACGCCGAGGGTGTGGTAGGTGCGTAGGGTGGAGGCGGAGTTGCCGATTTGGTGGAGGCCTTCGATGGCGAGGGGGGAGATGAGCTGGTGGGCGCGGAAGTGGGAGAGGGCGGTTGTGCTGTTGGGGGGGGGGGGAGGGGGTGGGGGGGGGGGGGGGGGGGGGGGGGGGGTGGGGGTGGTGGGGGGGGAGGGGGGGGGGGGGGGTTGGGTGGTGGGGGGGGGGGGGGGGGGGGGTGGGGTAGAGGGATTGGAGACGGCGGAGGAGGTCGAGCTGGCTGTATGTTGCTGAGACGGCTGGGGGGTGTTAGGATGTGACGATGGCTGAGGGATGTCGTCCTTATTATAGACTGGATCTTGCATTCCTGTGGCCTTTGGAGATGGGAAGTATAAAGTGAGGAGTTTCAAATAGGGAATCGGCCCAGCATCGGCATCCTCGTGCTTAAACAGTGTCTATTGCAGATACTTATGGCAATTGGACTCCACAACCAGGCAATGAGATGACACTTGAAGTAAATAATTCCACTTACAATGTGCATAATTCTCGTTTGAAAAATCAGAACCATTCTTAGGACAGGGAATAAATGCCGACCAGAAGGCACCCCCAACCTTGCCCTCCTTCAATCGCGGAAGGTCAACATGGGCTGGCATGCCCCCTTCCAAAAACATCTTCTGGAATTTCTCGTCATTGATGTGATTATTGTAACGCTCGCGGATGAGGATGGCAAGATCATTATGTCCATCTATCAGCGGCGTATGAGTCAAGATCTTGCTCGCTCTTTCTTCAATGGTAGGTGGCTGCCCCCAAAACGGCCACCCAAAGGCGGCAGTGGGCTTAGAAAATAACAGCACAGATCCAGTCAAAAGGAGGGCTCCATATGCAACTATACATTTCGACCTTCGCCATGGTGAGCCCCCATCGACGACGACCAACTGTTGCCGCTGATCATCGGCGTAGGACTCTACCTTTGGCAGAAGAGGCCTAGACTCCATCATGTAAAAAGGCTTATTTGCAATATAATATCGGGATATGATGATTTCCTAGTAGCTTTCACGTCAGCTCCCGATTCGTACAGTCACCTTTTTCTCTACGGTATACGCGTATACGCGCGTTTGTCTCATAAGTCACGTGTAACATCTGATCTTTTGCGTGCCTGAAACCTGAAAAAGACACTTCGGACGAATCGACGACTCTAAACTTAGACCCTCCAATTCCCCAACCTTGGAGCAGTGGCAGCCTAGACCCAAACGGTACATTAGCGAACGTGGACAACTCGTGCTGACCCGGGACCTGAACCAGACTTATAAACAACAAAACTGAATCGCGCAGAACCTGGCAGACGTCGCAAATCAATCGGCCGGCTCGAGGACAATCTCCTAAACTGTCGCTGGTGTTATTGCGGTTCTTGGTTCTGTCTGTTGTAACGATACCGCTGAGCGAAGCTTCACGAAACACAGCCCCATCTGAGGTCCCTTCCTATTCGACCTTCATAGAGCTGCCAACTTTGTTGATCTTTTCCTCGTCGCTCCTTTTTTTGCTAAAAACCACCCCTCCTGTACATATCAACCTCACCCCAAAGGGACGCGCGTCGCTTCAATCGACTTCACGAAACCTTCACCAGTAGTCGCGATCCCTCTCACGTGGGCAAGATGCCGGGTTTCGCAGATTCCTTCTGGTCCGCCGACTATGCTGGAGGCAAGTATTCGAGTGTCGCTATGAAATCAATTGCTAACTCAATTGATCAGGACTGGGAGTTCTCTTCGGGAAGCTTCAGCAGGGTGTCCTGGAAAACCAGCAGGTCCTAACGATTGCACGAATGCGAGCCGAAGCCGAAGACCTCTACGGGATGCGTTTGGGCGATATCGGGCCAGCGACTGACAAGATGACTGGCGGATTCACGAGGGATGACGGCGCAAGCCTCAAAAAGGCATACGATGGAGTCCGCAGTGAGATGGAGGAGGCGTCGAAGAACCACCGAAGGATAGCTTCGAGTATACGCGAGCTTGTCGTGAACCCATTCAGCCGCTGGTGCGACGCCCACGAGAATCGGGTGCAGTCTTCGCAAGACGATCTGCAATCGCGGATCAAGTACCACGACAAACAGGCCGAGTCGGTCAGGAAGCTCCGCAGCAACTACTTCAACAAGTGCCGTCTTGTGGAGGACATTGAGGAGGAGAACAAGCTTGCGTTCCAAGACCCATCAGGCCCGGAGGGGAGCCCCAAAGGAAAACAGAATATACCCGAGATCAAGGTGGAGGAGAATGATGAGGATGACGAGCCTCTGGAAATCGGAGACGAGATCTACCAGCCCGAGCAGGTTAAGAAGATGCTTGAACATGCCCTAAACACCGTGGCGCTTGGAGACACCAAGGTGCCAATCCTTGGCACTTATCAGAACACTACATCTGGTGCTGGTATTGTGGAATATCTGCAAAAGCACCTGGGTGCTACCACTATCAGCCATGCTGAGCGTGTTGGCCAGGATCTTGTGGACCACGGATTCTTGCGCCTGATTGGCAACGTTGGTAACACTTTTGCCAACAGCAGCAAGATGTTCTACCAATGGCGGCCACGGGCATTCCAGTACGCCGGCGTACCTGAGAAGAAGCAGACTCTGAACCGAACATTCTCTCTCGCTCCCAACTCCGACTTTGCAGAGTCGCCAGTTGTTGGAGCTGTTGGAGAGTACCTTTCCGGATGGAGCCTGGTTAACCAACATCCAAATGAGACCCCAGCTCAGCGTCTCCGAAGAGAAGCTGCCGAGGCGGATGAGAGATACAAGGCGTCTGTGCGAAAGTTGGACCTGCTAAGGTGCCAGCTCGAGGAGGCTATTATTGACCACCTCAAGTTTATGGAGCGTTGTGAGCTTGACCGCCTAAAGGCTATCAAGTCAGTTGTTCTTGACTTTTCTGGCGCAATCAGCAATGCCATCCCAAGTCTTCAGTCAACCGTCGACAAGATGATGCTCTACCAAGAGACCGTTCAGCCGCTGGGAGATCTCCGCTATCTCCTAGAGAACTACCGCACTGGTGGCTTCGCGCCGAAAGTCCAGATCTACGACAACTATTACAACTCTGCCGATGAGCAAACATTCGGTGTTGACTTAGAGGCCCGCGCTCGTGCTGATAAGAAGCGCGTCCCGAATGCTATCACCTCCATCCTCACATTCTTGGACAACCACTATCCGGACTTGGAAGGTGACGAGGCTAGACGAGGCATCTGGCTTGTCGATGTTCCGTTGCAAATCACTCATCGCCTGAGAGACGAGATCAATAACGCAAAGCCGGTACCAATGGAGACTCTCCAGCGCTATGATATACCCGTAGTAGCAAGCGTGCTCAAGCTGTACTTGCTAGAACTTCCTGGTATGTAAACTGAATTCTTGATCGTAGACTATTACTAACATCTTTTCAGACTCCCTGGTCTCTTCCCACGTCTACGAGATTGTTAAAACCATCTACAACACCCCCGCCTCAGAGTCGACCGACTCGGCCCGTATATCTGTACTCCAAAACACTCTCATCCAGCTTCGCCTCTCCAACATCGCAACCCTCGACGCGCTCATGACCCACTTCACTCGACTAATCGAGCTAACCTCAGCCGACGAAGCCTACACTGCCGCCCTCGCCCAAACCCTCGCCCCCTGCATCCTCCGCCCCCGCGCAGAGAACTCCCTAACACTAGAGGAGAAGCATTCCTACCGCCTCATCCGCGACCTCTTCGTGCACAAGAGCCAGATCTTCAGCGAACTCAAGCGCGCTAGCTCGCTCTCCCACAGCGCGAATAACGCCAACAATAACCGTCCGAGAGCGATCAGCACCGACGAGAGCAACCGCAAGGCAAACATGGAGGCTAGGACGCGCGCTATCCTCGCGGCGGGGGGGTCGAGGAGCAGAGCTACCAGCCCGGCACCGAGCCCGCGTGGGCATAGGAGGGATAGGAGTAGTGGGGGCCCGGAGACGAGGTTCCCCATCCAGACGTCGCCGACTTTGACGTCTGAGACGCGTAACTCGAGGGGCTCGCTTGGAAGCACTGTAAACAGGGCTAGCTTGGATATTCCGGGGTCGATCGATTCCATCTCCACTGGACCAGATAGCCACTCTGCGTCCAGCGCGCTGCAGCAAGCTACGAATGGAGTCAGTGATTTCAACTCATTCGGCGCAGGAGCGGCGGATGTTGGCGCTGATGAGGTAGGGGTGGAGAAGCGGAATAGCCTGGGAAGACCTAGTCACCCAGTAGTTGGGAGACTGGCGACGGCGCGGAAGCCGCCGGCGTCGAGTGCGTTGAATAGGTTGAGCGTTGGCGGTGGTGGCAAGCTCGAGCAGCCGGCGGGCGTTAGCCTCACTGATAAGGCTATGGATGACTGAGTTATGAATGATTGTTTGGGGGAAAGGGGCTACATAGGATGAGACGAAGGGCAGATGAACGTTTGTATGATATGATTTTCTTGCTGAAGCAGCGCCGAGGGGCGATTGCAATTATGATACCTTTGATTAAATCATAACTTTGTCAGATATTTTTAAGATATTGTGAATCATGCGGGGGAATTTGAAGATGTGAGATTATTTCTCATGTTTGAGTAGGCCAATTTTGTACGAAGTTACTGTGTAGCACAGAGACATTGGAAGACGTGGTACTATTTTGCGAACTGAGTCAGCCAATTCTTCATGAAGATATTGTGTAGCAAAAACATTTTAGAATACGATTGTATTCTGTAGACCGAGTTAATTGCTTGACATATCCTCCGTCGTTTAGCGTTTACGGATTGCAAGCTATTTAATTTCCGCCGGATGGCCGGCGGAACCTCAACAAGCGCGCGCGACTGATAAGCCCCAGCTTACACCTATTCCAGACATCTCTATTCTCTCTCTATACTTTTTGCGATGGAGTAGGTAGGAGGCTGTATTATTATTATATATGTGTATTCTATGCTATTACTTGTTCAGTTTCGTTACACACTCGTCCTTGTGCCCGTTGCGCCAACTCCTACTCATCGGCGCCTGTAACATCCCCTGACATGGGAATTGTGTAGCGTAACTCCTCACCTGAAGAGTTGTGCTCTGTGGCACTTTGGATGTTTCCCGTTATGTTGTATCGTGCACCGTTTTTTCCATCCTGGCGGTGGATATATTATATCCATACTCTGGTTATGATTGAAATGACTCCACAACCGCCATCCAAACACTCTTGGGCCACAGTCTCGGGTCAGGGACTTCTCGCATACCCCTATGTGAGCCGTCCTTAGTATTTTGGCAATGTTGTCCCTGAACCAAACACGACTAACCGTTCGCAGGCACTGCGGCACTAATCGTCGGCGGAGATGACACCAGCATCAATCGCATGCTTGACAGCAGGGTAGACGGCAAGAGCAAAGTTGCTCTGCCGCGCCAACACATACTTGACCGTAATACCGTTGTCACAATCAAAGTTTTCGATATGCTCGCTTTTATCCGGCTTGAAGGCATGAAGGATATACGACGTCGAGTAATCAATCTCCCAGTCCGGCTTCTCCACATCGCGTTCCATCTGCCCGATGTTATCGTCCAAATGTGGCATGAATAGCTTAGAGGCATCACTCAGTTTCCAACTCATCGGCGCGAACGCTACTCTTTCCAGGATGAGCACCTCTTTGTTCTCCGGCATCAGGCGCTCAGCAATCATCGTGAGCAAGCTGCTATCCCCATGCTTCTCCGACAGCGACGTCAGCAGATCATTGCTATGGGCCGTCCAGGCACCCGAATACACCTGATGCTGCTGCTCGACCCAGAGCTTCATCAACAACGTCCTCGGCCGCGACATCCACACCCCACTGTTCACCTGCCCCCCCTTCTGCCTCCCGACGACATTCGCAAAGCCCGACTCCCTCAACGGCTTCACATCGCGCAGCGCGTGCGCGTCCCAGTCAAGATAGATGCCGCCATGCTCGTAGACGGCCTGCGCGCGGACGAAGTCGGATTTATGCTCGAGCAGTGTTATGGGGATGCCCGTCCCTGTTGCAACGTCAGGGGCATTGACGCGACGCACGACGACGGCAGGAAGATTGAGGATCTTATGCGCCCACTTGCTAGGAGCTTTGTCGATGGGTCCGCTCTGCGCGCGCTCGATGGACGCATACGAGGCGTCGGTGTGGATGTAGATGAGGTCGGGACCGAAGTAGAAAGAGGCGGAGTAGATGGCAACGAAGTGCTTGAACTTGAACTTGATGTCGGAGTCGGGGCCGTCGGGCATGATATGCACGAAGTGCACGCGGTTGGGGATGGGGTTGACGGGCGTGGAGGCCGCGCTGGTGGGACACGAGAAGGTGCGCGTGGAGGGGTAGAAAGAGGTGAGGAAGTAGAGGATGATGCCGATGAAGACGGCGATGGGGGCGAACTTCAGCAGTGCCGCTTTGGCTCGCACCAGCACCGCGTTGCTGTAGCGCATCTTGCGGCTGTTGAGAGGTAGGAGAGGGGGAGAGTTGGGCGGCTTCATCCACGCAGCGTCACGCAGCTCATCGAGGGAAATCATTCAAACGGACGATGATTATACAAAGTGCGGTGAGGAGGAACTTCTGTTCCTAAATAACGCTTGTGTTACCTTCCCTCCCAGTGCCCCCATTTCGACACATCACCTCCCTTACTTCCTCGGAGACCCTTACGTCCTCAGGGACCCTTACTTCCTCGGCGATCTGTCCCTGCGAGCTTCAAAGCTGTCAGCCCAACCCACCTGTTCTATTTTCAGGGGCCCAGTTATTGGCCTAATGCTCTAAACGACGGCAATAGTGGACCTAACAGTGACGAGCACTGGCCCTCCCGACCCCTAAACTGCAGATCACATCCCTGTCCGCTTTAGTGACCGCCCTTCGAGGAGGCCGATCACCACCACTAGACAGCGGCTCAAATCCTTCTCTGTTGGGCGGGGCCATGATTCGAAAATCTCTCCTCAAACGAAGATGTGAATAACCGGTCGTAAAGGGGGCCAATGGCACGCGACACGGACACGGAGGGCAGTCACGCCGTCTCATCCCCCAAGTTCGGGGTTTGCAGTGCAGCTAGAGAACAGGCAGCCATAAATTGAACCCTCACAATGGCCATAAGTCGTTGCCTAATCCAGGCAGCAGTAAATGTACCATGTCGATCCAGCTGATCTGATCGAAATACGAGCGCGGCCCCCAAACGCTGTGGATAGGCACACTGGTAAATAAATTGCCGATATTGTGCATTTCGGCGATGTTCGTTTCATGAGTGTGGCTATGGCTTCACATCCGCCGCTGTTTTGAAGATATTTGTTTAATGGTTGATTGTGTTTCGTTTTTGTTTACATGTGATTGGATCCCGGCACTTGTGTTACTGTTGATCACTCAAGACACGAGAGAACATGAGAAGGCTTGCTACAGCACGCGACACACAATTCTTACTGCATGAAATTATGCAAGCGAGGCGTGGTATTCGGACCGGGCCGGTCACCGGGCCGGATAGCTAGTGTAGACTAACCTGTTCATCATTCGTTCGTCACATATCTCTTCTGCATTGTGGTGGTGATGTAGTCTGTTTATGACATTTGCTGGAGTATTTGGGGAAAATGGTGAACAACCTTCGATGATCTTTGGTGGATGCCGTGAATCTCGCCAAGAGTGACTGATTGTATTACTAAGCAATGTCTAAATCGACAGACAATCGATAGGAACCCATATAACCAGAATGCCGTCAAAAGTCACACAAATGCAGGATTTTCACCTAATAATTAGTTGCGTAGCAACCGCATAGCCACGTCAGAGCCTTTGAAATTCCTCCTATCAACGTGATGAAGCTCAGAGTCCATATTGCGCAAAGTTGTCCTCAATCTACTACACAGTTCCGGGTGGTCCGTGCCTATATGGTCTTGTAACAGTGCCAAGACCATACAGGCACGGACCACCCGGAGCTGTGTAGTTAGTCTTGAGCCTCTTGTCAAGTATCATGTCCTGAATCAGGTCGTGTTGGGAGGGGGTAAGGTTCGGTGCCATTGTATGTTACCCGAGATCGAAGTTGCGAGGGAGCAAATGCCCCCAAGTCCGTCGAAACCAACGCCAGCGAAAACACACCCGCACCTACAGAGGCCGTAAACTCCCCTCAGCTATACGCCAGTCTCAGGCTAATAGCTGCATGATATTCAGCTGGACAAGACAAAAAGTATTTCTAAGCTAGAGATTTGTCTGGCAGAGGTCAGGCTCAGGCAGCATGGTTCAGTTAGAGAAGGGTGGTAATGACAAGCTGGTCAAAGATCCAACAAACTTTCTGCTGAGCTTAGGGGTTTCTCGACGATGAGGATGAAGCTGACTTTTACTGGGGAATGTATGAAGCAATACGAGGCCACGAAATTGCGGCGGGTCTTCCTGGATGAGATGTCTATTCTAGAGCCGAGATGGGCCGAAATCTTCAGCGAGAGCCGGATAAAACGGGATCTCGATTATGCGGTTAATAACTGCGATGCTCCATTTACTGGGAGGAGCATTAGTTATTGGTGTGACGACGCTGCTGCGGAAAGACACAACATGCTGACTTTGGACGATAGAACATATGGGTATCATGGGCCAGAACATTCCAAGGATGATATAGTAGTATTATAGATGGTGATGTACGATATACCCTGTAGCGTAGATCATAATCTGCTCTTCTCGACTGTCTAATATAGGAAGGGATAGATGAGTAGCACGTAAGATACCATTTTCTTCCTAGTAAACCTTGACGACTGTAATACAAGTACATACATGTGATATTACAACACCTCTTCAACCGAAAATAGCACATCTCCCGGCTCTCTATGTCGATAAAACATAATGTTGCCCGAGCCAAATCGGATCCACGTTGGTAGAATAGAGTGCGATAATGGGTATCAAAACAATTTCAACGACGATTCGTTTGGCAAGACCATGTCCACAACCGTGGCCATAATTAAATACCTAAGCCACTTGTGAATCTTCTTAAGTATGTAGCATTTCCTACCGGAAATAGTTTCCTATTAGGCACAATAAGTTAGTTGGCATCTCGATCTCGTAAAATCGCCGGCTTTAATATGTAGGACATATGTTTTTATTTCCCTCCAACGTACAGTAGGTCACTTAGAAGGCTGCAATTGGCTAGGAAGAGTTAGGCTAAGACGCACCTTGTTGGCCGTTGTTAGCCGTTGTTGGCCCTTATTAGCTGTTATTAGCCCTTGTTAGCCCTTGTTAGCCCTTGTTAGCCCTCGTTAGCCCTTGTTAGCCCTTGTTGGCTGTTGCCTTGTTGGCCCTTGTTGGCCCTTGTTGGTCCTTGTTGGTCCTTGTTGGTCCTTGTTGGCCCTTGTTGGTCCTTGTTGGCCCTTGTTGACTTACTGATCTCGCTGCCGATTAGTACCTCGTGGTTGCTGTCAGTGGTCCTCCTTCGGCTACTTCCGTTAATATTCAATTACTCTCTTTTAACACGTGTGGGGATTTGAAAAGATCTACATACGATCGATCTATTTAGCACGGCATCTTGTAGACAAGAGATATATGCGAATTTCAAAGCACCCTCTAACAGATGTCCTGACATTACGTGCCCCTTTTTTCCACATATCATCCATTACTGTGCTAAGACTCTCAGTTTTCCGTTAGGGTAGACTGTGGGGCCCTATCTACTCTTTTGGATAGATGGTGTGTCTGAATTTAGCACTCTGCCTCAATCTTAGAATGGCTAATAGCTTGCCGATAGTACTCGCGCCGCCCTACCCAATGCCAAGAGTCTCATTTCCGAATCTATTCGTAGGTAAAGCTGCCTAGAGCGCTATCCTCTTGAAAAGTCCCCAAAGTAGCACATTTCAAAGTAACTGTGTTGGTTGGAGTCCAACCGTTGGACTGTTAGCCCTAGCTAGGATCCAGACATACAGTAAGAACGGGCAAAGATCTACGAGACTTTTTGATGTTCGCATCACTTGAATTATTATAAAAACGACAGCTAATCCTCACAATTTCTAAATAACTCTGTCCATCGCAGTACGCACTACAAGCAGCAAACAACACCACTTTTCTCTTCACGCCAGTATAGCAAACTCAAGGCATACTTCTTCGTCACTCGAACGCAAGCCAGAAGCTTATTCTACTCTATCCAACATCATCCCAAATTCAAAATGTTGTTCACCCCCCTCAAGGTTGCTGTTGCTATCTACGCCATCGGCACTACCGCTACTGAGCTCACATGCTGGCCGAAAAACGATTTTAAAGGTCCTATTAGTGGTACCTACAACCTCAACTCTGGTTGGCAGAATGCCCGAAACTGCCAGTCTGCGAGATGGAGCACTGGCACCAACAACCCCAACTGCATTTGGATCAAAGGCTCCAGTGGGCAGAAATCATGGAGCGCGCGAACCAATAACTTTCCCACCGACATCTTCAAGGATATTGGATACGACTCGCAGGTCAGAGAAGCTGCTTGTTAAGAGTCAGTTAGGCGATCAGAAAGATTTTCTAGTCAATCCATTGCCATCGAGCTAAATAGAAGCTTGAAGGCGAGAAACTAGATTGGGAAATGTAGGAGATGTTCAAGAGCAGGAGCTAGTGCTAGATACCAAATGAAGTCTGTCGTTACAAATAGGACGGTGACAAATATAAACTACAGTCATTCGTTACAACTTGGATCCAGAAGAGTGCTCGATTAATGTATTCCAGATCGTGAACTCGTCTTACAGTCGGCAATCTCTACACAGAGGAGACGAGACTTAACATGACACATTTGCGATAACAATAGAGGGTTTCAGACCAAATTACATGACATGATAACATGCCATAAGCAGGACAAGACCTGCCTCGCCAACGCCGGACATGATTTATTGAAGCTGGAATAAGTCAGAAGTGTATGAAGCAAATTGAAAGTCCTCACAGGATTGCCAACAAATGGTAAAGCAGATAATGAGTGCGGAGTAGTATTGAATGAGGGGATATTGACACGATTTTGTAATGAGCCTAAACGTGATAAGTAGCCAAATCGTACTAGATGCTAAGATTATGCCACAGTGCTGCTTGCTCTACTCCTACTGCTTTTGCTGGGTGCGCATTGTAAAATAGGAATAAACCAGGGAGTACTGCAATGATGAATGAGGTTGTGGTTCAGCCGCACCTGAATGGATTGCCATTTGCACTTGACCTGATTTAGTTGACAGCAGTTCTTCACCAATCAGTCGCTGCAGGCCTCGTTGAGGCCCCCAGACATTCGCTAGGGCGAGATAGATCTACATCACTATGTTGCAAATCTTTGTTGGTTTTTATGTAGTGCCAAGCTTGAAACAAACAGCCTAACGTATTCGGCATGTAAGCCGGTAACGTACGTAAGCCGGTAATCGCCATATGAGAATTACCTGTAGACCACCCGTAAACTATATATTACTTTCAAATAGATTAAATTAACTACTTCAAACTGAATTAATTACAATTGGTTCTTCTGGGAGCAAATACGAGCATTATGCTCAAGTGATGAACATATACTACACCTAGGTAGTGCACGTACTCGTGGCTCTTGTTGACGGTTTGTCAACTCCTCTTTATGCTCTATACCAACCATTTGTGATCGATTCAAACCTTCTTGAACTGTAAGAACTCCTCCTATAGCTATATATGACTTCCGCTTTGCTCTTTTCTTCTTTTGCCTCTCGTTTTCAGCCCGTAATTGACGATTCTCCTCTATAAGAAGTACAGCACTATGCATAGCCATTTGACAGCCCTTAACTAGTTGATTAAGTGCAACTTCTATAGGACTAGGTGGACTATGCGTACGACGTCGTATATACTCCTTAATAGTCTGTGTTTGACGCTCAAGCTCTCGAATATTATGCGGTGTTTTAGGATTCTAAGGAGAGCTTTGTAGATGGATTATAGGTGGAGTTGGCGTCCGTAAAGTAACATGAAGCTTTTCAAGTACATAACTTAGATTGTATGGAACGAGTCTAGTAGCTGTAAAGCTATTTCGAATATTACTTGTATTTAGAGCCTCTAGTCGAGTAGTAGAGTAAGCTCTAAGGAAGTTAGGCTTGTCGATATGATTAAGACCTGTTCGTGTAAGGTTTTCAATCTGCCGTCCGTAAATCCGTTTTATAGCTGCAAAGCAACTAACATCTAGTGGCTATAATAGGTGTAACGAATGGGCCGGCATACAGAGCGTAATGATAGAGCGTTCTGAGCAGAATAGGTCGAATTCGGGAGTACTATGGCTTCCATGACCGTTAAGAATCAGAAGTCTATATACTCCTTTCGTACGATCTCTTGTATACTTCTCAAACACCTCTATAAGCCACGTAAAGCCAAGGGAATCGTTCGTCCATCCGTTTTCACTAACACTAATTACCTAGTTCGGTGGAAGAGACTTAGTATACTAGTTAGATTGATGCACTTTGCCTTTAAATATCACCATTAGAGGAGTACTCCAACCGTCTGCGCATATGCCCTCAATTACCGTTACCCACTCTCGATTCCCTAGCTGGAGAATAACTGGCTTTCTAGATCTTTTAGAGCCGCAAACTACTCTTGCAGTTGTAATTACTCCCATCTGGAAACCGGTTTCATCGAAGTTATATATATCATCGTCTGTAATCCTATATTTTGCCCGTATATTCTCTACAAGTCGAAACCAGTCTCGGATAATAGTAGGATCTTCGCATTTCGCTCGCTGATAGTCGTATTTACGACTAAATCGTGATTGTAGGGGTTCATGACGTTGTACGAAGTTATAGACCCATTTCTGGCCAACTATAGGATCTTAACAGCCTGTCGAGCTCTGCTTATTACGTCTTTGAAGGAGTAGATTGGCCATTTGTCGTACAGTATTAACTCGAGGTGCTAGGCTACGTTCATCCATTGATAGTATCCAAGTTATAAGGCTAGATTCCTTAGTCTCTGTAAGTTTACGGTGTACAGAGCGTAAATCGCATTTTGCAACACGACCGTGGAAGCGATCGTTGGCTGTCGAATATGATACTCCGTACACCTTTGTAGCAGCTCTTAGGCTCTTAAATTGCCCTTTACGGAAAGCTTGAATAGCTAGGAGTATTCTCCCTTCTTTTTGAGCTAATTGAGAGCTCTGATGCTGAGACATATCGTGTAGTTTACAGTTTTAGGATGGTCTACGCGTGGTTTTCGTGTCGCGATTACCGGCTTACGTACGTTACCGGCTTACATGCCGAATACGTTATAAAAAAGCTATTAAATAAGCCAGTGGAGCACGCCCACATACGAATACGGCAAGTATTATACATACAAAGTGAGTTTCGGCTGCACATATACGCCTCAGTCTGGTTAACTCAACTCAGCACTTTTATTCTGTTGGCAGGCTGCATTATATATTCTAGCATGTGTCAAATGTGATAACTCCGGAATCGATTTGCTGTCGGTTACGCTAAAATTTGCGGCGCGGATGGTGGAGACGTGGACGCTTGACACACAAAATCTAGCAATCAAGCAATACTTCTCCCAATGCAGCAGAATTGACGATGATCTGATTCGGGGAACCTCTTCGCATTTCCCCTTTTATGGCTAAATAGATCGAAAGTGGAAAAGCACTGTGGAGAGAGAGTAATAGAGCGTGAGATTGTCGAAAAGGGTCGGTTAGAGCTAGCCTTATGGGCGTACCCGATCATACTATATCGTTTACTATATTTTTACTGGTCGGTCACTCGGCCTCAGGCCAGCGAAGGAACGTTACGGACGTTTCCCAAAAATTGGCATGACTAACCGATTGAAACTCGTGGAGTATGACGACGGGGGTTTGGTTTCGGGTAATTATGAGGGATTAAAAATTTCGTCTCGCGGAGGCGGAGTGGTGAAGAGACCAGGGCTATGTGAAAAGGAGAATTGCGGAATCGCGGACCAGCTACTGTGATCAGGGATGTCCCACTTCACAGTTCAATTGTATCGACTGACGAGAGTTCATGTATCAACAGTATGTTTTTTGGTGAGTTGCTGTTATATTTGTAGTGGCGCTAGCTATTTTATATATCCTAATATATAGTCATCCCTTATTCATCCCGTCCTTATCAAGATCATATCCGAAGCCACGCTAGCCTCCCATGCTTTAAATAGTCTAACCAAAGCCCCCCCTCACCTCGATTATCTACATAACCGCACACCCAAACCCATACATCGCCCTCTCGACATCCCTCTTAACGACAAACCAATCCGCTCTCCGCTCCGCAAACTCATACACCTCCTCCGCGCGAAAGATGCCGCTAAAGCGCTCCCCATCCGCAATCACCGCCGCCATCTCCTTCGCATGCTTCGGCCCAATCAGATAGATCTGGCTGAGCTCGCGCAGCGCGCGGAAATACTGTAGCAGATCCGCGTTGCGCAGGCGCTGGATATACGTAAAGTAGAGGTTCATGTCGGAGATGAGCTTGATGGAGCCGTCGATGCTGATGCGCTGACGCTTGAGGTGCTTGCACAGTACCGTGAAGAGTCGTAGTCCGACCTCCTGGTTGAACACGTCGAGCATGTTCTTGTCCGTGCTGCCTGTAAGCATGTCTGTGTGCGAGGACACGATATCGACGACTTCCTGTGCGCACTTTGTTGGGCCGATGTCGAAGGTCGAGTCGGGTATACCGGATGCTGTTAGAGGGGGGTTGTAGTCGGAGGGTGGTTGCGTGGTGGCGCAGACGTATTCGATCTCATCCATGAGAACGTCAATGCCCTTGTTCAGACCGGCGGCAACGCGCTCGTCCAGCATTTGCTCAAACTTCTTCTTGGCCTTAACGGCGGGGTCGAGAAAGTCGTTTTTATCCACTAACTTTGTCGCGGCGAGTTGCTGCTCGTAGAAGACGTCGATCATCTGAGAGATCAGGTCTCCGACGTTGACTAGCTCCAGAAAAGTGACGAGAGGCGCAACTCCTTTCTTGCTGTGCTCGCTCACTTCTCGTGGATTGTATTTTGATAAGTGATCAACCGCCTTGTCGAATCCGCTCTTGACATGCCGTGACCCCAAAGTTTGTAGTAGAAATACGAATATCGTCTCGCATTGCTCTCGTGCCTCTTCCCCTGTTTGTCCACCGAGTTGCACAAACGCGGCGGCTCTCTCGAGGCTTGTCTTAGCAGAATGCACAAGCGTCAGTGCAATCTCTATGCTGAAAAGTGACCTGATGCCTTCGAGCTTGTTTGCCATAATGGCAGCTTTGGCCGCAAGTTCATCCGTTGGAGCCTCGGCACTTGGCGATGGCAAGCCCGGGACTCCAGCTGGCGAGTGTGACCTTGATGATGTCGGTGTGATTGAGGCTCCAGCCCCAGAGGTAGCCGCACTAGTAACCTGAAGTGTTGCACTGGACTTTGAGGTCGCAAAAGGTGAGAAACTTGGAAGCACATTGACGGGCATCATGACGACCTTCCTGAACGATGTCAGGAAATCCTTCTTGTCCGCCTGTCGGTTCACATTTGCCATAAAGAACGACTCTGTCGACGCGTCTTCTTCGGAGAGCTTCCTTTCCCAACCGCTCACCTGCTCCTCTGCTTCTTCTTTGAAGAAATCTAGTTCGTCTTGAAGATATAGGTCCACATGAGGCTCAAATACCCTCACAATAATCCCGTGAACTTTCCTTCTGAACTCCTCCGGCGATGCTGCGCTCGGCGGTTTAATC